GTCGCGGGGGGAACTGGAGCCTATCCCAAATGCTTTAAGAACCTCAAACTTTCTCTGACCTGATTTCTGTTCAGTTGTAGATGGGCAGAGCACCGTTTTCAGGATGACGACTGAGGCTGATGTTGACCTCTCTGATCCACACATTCAGTCCCAGGTCCTCCAGAAGGTAAACCACTTCTGCCTCAGCTGGGACTTCTCAGCAGAAACTAGAGCTCTGAAGGCTGCTTCCTCAATTCCTTTTCAGATGGAGGCTCTGCTCAGAGCCCGGGGATTGACCGACGTCAAACTGCAGTGGAGGATGAAACCCAAAAAGAAAGACTGACTGGAAGACTTTGGGTTGAGCCCCCCAGGCTTTGTTCATCATGATTAGATCCATGTTTTGCTTCACTTCCCTTTTTTGCTCTTGTTTCTATTAGGTCAGTTTGTGATGTTGCATATATGGAAAAAAAACTTTTGTGTCTGTGTTGGCTTTTCTTCAAATTTTATCCAACAAGTAACCGAAGAATACATTTACCTCAATGAAGGAATGAAACCCTCATGCATGCATAAGATTTAGCACTATACAATGTAAAGTCAATTCTATAATTCCAAGTAATCTATGCCACAATTCCAAATGATAGAAAGAAATCTGCGCTATGGAGGAGTGGATTATTCATTCTGGTGTCTGCAGACACATGCCGACTATGAAAAGTCCAATAGTTAAGGTTTTTTGCTTCATAACATCTTTAACTAAACAGTAACTTGTTAAGAAATTACATTTTTTTCCACTCAAACTTACTTATGTGTGATATCTATTTAAGGGATAAAAGGCCATTTATCATGTACTTTTTTGTTTGATGAATATTTTACTTGCCACTTTAGATTATTTTTATTTGTTTTGTTTTTTTACTTGTAGTGAGATTGAAAATAAAGCTTTTGATTGATTTGCCGCTTAAAAATCTCACTGACTTGTGGAAGTTTTTTCATCAGCTGTAACCAAAAAAACACTCATATTTTCAACATCTTCTTTATTCTCGTGTCTAAATCCACATCCATGTAAAACGGTCAAATATCAGCCAGCAGTTCATTTCCACACAGGTCAGACATGTTTTCTGTCTGTGTGGAAAGAAAATTGAACTTTGCAGACAGATCCTGGCCGAACGGTCTAAAAGCTGGAGGGAACCCACGCAGACACAGGGAGAACATGCAAACTCCACACAGAAAGGTCCTGGTTCCCCCAGGGACTCTAACCCAGAACCCTCTGGCTGTGAGGTGATGGTGCAAACCCCCACATAATCCAAACAGATACAGTACATGACAGGTGTGATGTTGCATGAACAGAACAGGAAAGAGTGAGTGCATATTAGTATGTTTAGTATGATCATTTACATAGGAAATGGAAGACAAATTCCCCATTTCCCCCCCACTATTGTCAGCTTTACAAAGACAAACCATTAATCCCAAACAGGCAAAGTATGACTACACCCAGATAAACATTGCATATGAAAATGTATAAAATAATTTTTGATATAGAACAGTTGACTGAACATCAATAACTCATTCGACTTCCAGCTTCCAGCGGCTCTGCTCAGTAAGTACGCTTCAAGACTTCCAGGGTTGGTATCCGGTGGGTTCTACAGCAGTAAACCTTTTCTAAGTGGCTGAAAGAGGAAGAAACTCACAGCAGGACAAATCTGAAAGCTAAAAATGTGTGTTTTTTTTTTCAATTTAAAGACAGAATTGAGCTGGGGCAGGCCGACGGCTTCACGTC